GTCAGTCAGTATTAGGGAGTCCACCTTGCTCTTGTGCTCTTTGTCACCTTTTATCTTTATCAATAATTAAGGTGATATTTTTTGTCATCACCTGAAATTATTTTATTTCTTTATGTGTTAAGAATACAGATGGATAAAGAGTAGTATAATTACTAATTACTGGGTTGCTTTGTAGACACTAAGAAGCAATTACAGGTGGCCAGATACTGGCTGAATCTCTATGCATGTCTTTAAAGTTCGAACTGCTAGAGAGTTACATCCATCTCATATAATAGAGTGATACGGCAGTTTACCTCTAACTGATACAAAATGCTGCTTCCAAAAAAGAACTGTCATTTAAACAACATTAACAGTCTGAAGATATAACGATTTTGTAAAATTGTGTTACATAATACATGAGGTTAGCATAACTCAAAACAAAGTAATTTGACTACACATCCCTTAAGATACGCACAAAGGTCTAATGCTATATTTTATTGTTCATCTAGTAGTTTTACTATTAGTGATAATTTTAATACTATAATTTTGGAATTAATTTTGTTAATGGATAGTTAAAGGAAAAATTCCAGTTAATCAAATTATAGGAGAAGAGTGCTTTGGGGAAGAGGTTAAAAAATTAATTAGTTACATTATAGAGTAGTGGTCCCTAACCTTTTTGGCACCAGGGACCGGTTTCATGGAAGGTAATTTTTCCATGGACTCGGGGTGGGGAGGATGGTTTCAGGATGATTCAAGCACATTATAGTTATTGCGCAGTCAAACCTCTTTGCTAATGATAATCTGTATTAACAGTTGGTCCCCAGTGCTGGCATCACTGCTTCAGCTCCACCTCAGATCATCAGGCATGAGATTCTCATAAGGAGCATGCGACCTACATCCCTCGCATGCGCCATTTACAGTAGAGTTTGCACTCCTTTGAGAATCTAACGCTACCATGATCTGACAGGAGGTGGAGCTTATGCAGTGATGCTAGCGATGGGGAGCGGCTGTAGATACAGATGAAGCTTCCCTTGCTAGCCGGCAGCAGCTCATCTCCTGCTGTGCAGCCCAGTTCCTAGCAGGCCACAGACTGGTACTGGCCTGCCTTCTGGGGGTTGGGGACTGCAGTTACAAAGTAATGTGAAAAGAGTTTCAATTACTATTTTTTTAAAAAAAGCTTTTTTTTTTGTAACTCTTGTTACCAGGTAGTCTATTGTAATAGCACAGTGCTTATTAAAAACAGTGTTAAATACATTTCTAGAAATCATATTTTAGTATGTTACTCTATTCTCCACTGAAAGGACCCAGGACTTCTTGGAGTAGCTGATTCTATGTGAGAGGACAGGCAGAGCTCAAGGCAAGACTAGAACATCTTCTTGACAGAAATCAAGGGTGGCCAAAAAAGTTCTGAGGTGGTGTTAAGAATTCTCACACATCAAATTAAAAGAAGCTTCCTCTAGCAAACTGTGACAAAATCACATTATGTTAATCAAATTCGATAAATTAAAACAAATTGCCTGTTTTTTTTTAAAAAAACTAGGAGTTCATAATGATATTCAAAAGGATAAAAAAAGAACATTATTATCTAATCAGTCATATTAATTTTTTTAGGATTAAGTAAAAATTTGTTTATATGTAATTGTGTGTACATTCCCAGGATAGGTAAGGTATATTCATACATAAAAGTTAACAGTTAATGCTAACAACAAAAAAGGACTCTCCTCACATAAAATATTAATGAATTAGCCTATGTGATTTTGTGGCTACTGGGACTCCCCTGAAAAAGCATTTTTAAAATAGCAATAAAAAGCATTCCTACATTAAGTGATATCCTACTAAATAATTATAAAAGTTTAATTGTGTGCCAAAACATACCATCACAGCATGAAATGCCCTCCCAACCAATAAGATGGCTGGCCATACCATGATCTTAGGTCCATGAAGAGTAAAGAAAACTCATAGTTGCAGAATTAAGTCAATAATGCCTTTTAAAAGGATTTGGATATTGCAGATCTGTTTTGGTTTGCTGGCTGGTAGTTTTAAACGTTACTCCTGGTTGTTACTTTAACTATTCTTCCTGTTCTTTCAGTCAGTAAAAAAACTGGAAAAAGACCTTTCCAAGAACAGAGGACAAGGTCTCACCTATTAGGTCTGCCTGCAATTTTAACCTAGAATGCCAAGGTAAGAGGTCTTGTCAGTTTGGTCCAAATAGTACTGCTGCTCCTATCAATACTATTTCCTCTGACCTATCCCATCCTGACAAAGTAATGCAGTGATGATACTTACTCTTCAGGTAGGAAAATAATTTAATGTTTTACACTGCTGGATCTCTGGCCACAAGCCCAAGAACATTTGGAGGCGTAAGAAATTATAAAGTACAAATTAAAGTATTCTAATTTTGTTGAAGATAATAATGTATATTTATATGGAATTATGTTGTTAAAATGTCACTTCAGTAATTGATTAAAACTGCTAAAGAAATACAGAAATATGTTACAAAATATGTTCAAAAAACAAATTGTACTTTATATGCTTATAAAGATTAAATTTAACAAACAGCTTGGAAAAACACATTCAAATCAGACAAAAGGGTATTCGTGGAAACTTAACAAATTTGAGTTTAAAGTAAAGTAGTACCAAATCAGTATCAAAGAGGGAAAAATGTAGATGTCCCAAGTCTCATTCTAGCTAAACATGTCCTAAACTATAGCTAAAAGGAGGTGTATATGTGTTAGTATAAGAGAGAGAGAGAGAGAGAGAGAGAGAGAGAGAGAGAGAGAGAGAAGAAAAAAGAGAAACTTGAGACCTTCCTGAGAAATGTAGCTGCTTAACCTCAAGGCTTATATTGTTTAGATCAGAGTTCCTTATCCTTCGCACTACTGACATTTTGAGCTGGGTAATTCGTTGTTGTGGGTGTTGTCCTGCACATTGTAGGGTATTTAGCATCATCCCTGGTCTCTACCCACTAAATGTCAATAGCATCCCCCTGCCCCCTGATGTGACTACTACTGTCTCCAGACATTGTCAAAATTACCCCGGTTGAGAACCACTGGCTTAGAATACATAACCCTAAATTTTTGTAAACATGTAAAGAATGTTTTAAAAACCTTTACTTTTTAAATGATTGTGATATAAAAATACCTATCTGCCTTATTTTGGCATGAATGCATTTTTGATCACAGACATTCTTCATGGCAACTGTTAAATTATCCACCAAGAGAACAGATTTGAGCAGATCTAGAGCAAAATAAGGCAAAGCCTGGTTCTTTTAATAAATGCAAATTCTCTCTCTTACTTACCACTTTCCCTACCTCAGACCTACTACAGGTCTGGCTTTTGTCCTCCATTGATCTACTAATCTCTTTGACCTCTTCCAGAACCATGTTTCAGTCATTATCCTGACTGACTTCTCCAGAAATATAATACTTTTAATCACATAGTCTTCATGTAATTCTTCAATGATTTTAACTCTTTACTTATTGTTTTATTTTTCTGCCCATATCTTAAAACAAATTAATCACTTAATAATATAAATTGGACAGAAAAAAAGAAAACCTTATCCAATTTATCCCTGTACAAAAGCAAGATTTAGCCCTGTATTTAAATTTGGAATGCTGTAATAAAAGCTTTTAAATAAAGATACTATAGTGCTAGAAAAAATTCAGAAAAAGAGAATGATTATGAAACAATTGAGTCTTGAAGACTGAAAAAAAAAAAAACAGAATTTTCAGAGTGGTAGCAAGCAATCTACAAATAAATCCAATCTATAAATACAGACTTAGTGGATTTAGAAGATTGAGTGATATATACAGGAAAGATCCATCCTACTTTACTAGAATGTTTAGAGACTAAACTGTAGTATTTTAAGGATAAAATCATAAAATATAATCATATTCTTCTTGACGCCATAGAAAAATGAGTGGGATTAACCACAGCAAAACAAAGGAAGAGCCACTCTTATGCTGTTTTGCTCCATCATGGCACAATATTACTGTAGCTTTGCTAAAACCTACAATTTATCTAAATTAAAAGAAAATATGCAAAACAACTCTGTAATTTTTTATAACTTACTTTAAGCAAGGTACATTATCACGAAGCCCATCAGATGAACTGCTACTGGTAGATGGATGAGACTGAGGAGGAATGGGCTGAGGATTGGAACCTCCCACAGGTGTTGGCAAAGGTGGTGGCTGCTCACCCTCTGGAGATTCCACATCGTTTATCTCATATAACAATCGAACTTCAAGCATCTGTTATAAAAGTAAGGCAGTTTACCTACTCCTAATAATTACTATTCATTTTGTTACAATTTACACATGCTCACACACAAACCTCAGTGGAAAGAATATTTTTAAAGGTAAAAATTTAGCAAGATTTCTATAGATAAGGATTTCGCAGGGAAGAAAATATTTCTGACTCAGCTTTTTAAAAATGCATGCATGTATGTGTGCGAGTACACATGCACACACACATGACTTTAGAATTTATGCCACTTCTGTTATTATCAAATTAGAGTACACTCATATTCATGTTCACTTTTCTTAAATAAAACATACAATGTGCTTAAGGATTTAAATATTCAATAAAAAGACATGCAAAAAATATGCTAGCTTTCACAAGAGAGAGATGGTAATGGACATACCGAGGCGCTTTAAAAAATTTTATACAAACTGACTGCCAATAGTCTTCTAAACAATTCATAAATTTAAAAATGTCAGACACTTGGCACTGAAAATAATTGAGAGACTATTACCGGAATGATTTCTGTAATCACTTCCTGTTTGCTGAATCGATAAATAATGACATGAGCTGAAACTCCAGCTATGCACAGCATTCTACTTTCTGGACACCACGAGATGATCTGAATGGCATATGGATCTTCATCTACAATGTCTGTGTTTGGCCTGTCATCTTTATTTCTTGACTTTTCGAATACTTTTGATGTTTTTAGTTTATATAATACTTGTAGAGTTACTGGAAAAAAGACAATATGTTAGACATTTTAATAAAAAAAAGACCAAATATAAGGTAATTTTTAATCGGTCATATTATGTACAGAAAACAGTCTGTATTTTCCATATTTTCATTTCTCTGTCTACATTACAGTAGTCTATTCTACATTTAGATACTTTATTCATTGTTCTCATTGACCAAAAAAATATATACTCATTGTATTCATTAAAAAATAACCACCATCATAGATTTATGTAACCTGAAAAAAATGAGTAACAAAAAGATTTTAGGGAAAAAACGTATAAATACAATGAAAATAATAAAGGACATATTTTGCTTCCTAAAACAATTTTCTACATATTTTTTCTAGAAAAAGTACAGTACCAATATTATTAAACACTCCCACATGACAAACATAACATATCCTGAGTTAACTGCATTCCCACTGAATACTTGCCATGTATGTTTTGCAAACATTAATCATTAAAGGTATTCTTTCCCTTTTTGCTACTATGTCACCACCAGATATATTTTGCACAGACAACGTGAACTTTTGAGATATAAGTTTAGAGTCAGGCATTAAAATTATTCTAGAAATTTCTATTGATTGGAATAGAGTCCTGCTTCTCCTATCTTTAAGTCAAGAAGAGGTCTGAAGAAATTTTGAAGAAAAAAAATGTGAATACTTTTGTTGAGAATTATTCTTGATTTACTAATATCCTTAAGACTATTTTTACTCTATTAAAAATTCTAAACTCATATACTTGATAAATCAAGCATTAAATTTATAGTCTCTAGATTTCAAATTAAATGTTGGTTATGCAATTATTATAAAACAGGATATATAAAAGAAATGACTGTGTAACATATAACAAATAATAAACACTCAAAATACTTACTTGCAGAAGCATCCCAGAACTTAAGTGACCCATCAGCATGCCTATGAAAAGCAAGTAAGTTAAAATGTGATGAATAAAAGAAAATTACATTCTTTCCTTATATGAACGTATATTGTTATTTAAAAAGTTAGTCCACCAAAATGAGTAAAAAGGTAAAATATCAGGGTAAAGTGGTAGGTTCTTGACTATAACTTATTTCTTGTTATGTTACGACACAAAGGAAAGCTCTACCTACTCAGTAAATTAAAATTCATGTCATCTTAATCAATTATATTTGGCTATTATTGATTTAGGTGGCTAAAACAGACTTTTACTTACCCTGTAATAATTATTTCTGGGTAACTTTGAGCACCCAAGCCCCAATTACCTCCATTGATGGGCCACTCCTATAAAAAAAGATCACTGTATAAAGCAACTTGCAAGCATACTGTATATATTCATACATAACATAAATCCAACCTACATATAAATCCTAAAAACACCGATGGATTTAGAAGATTGAGTAACATAACAAAATAGTGAACAACATATTTTGCTTCCAAAAATGATTTTCTATATATTTTCTATAGAAAAGGTATTAATATTATCAAACACTCCAAGGTAATAAATACAAAATACTAAAATGTAACATTAAACACTGAAGCTTATGTTCAATACCTTTTTGCTGTAACCTTGACGCTTCTGTCTAGCTCCGACTGAATAAAGTGCAGGAATAAGGTCCACAGGACAATCAGCAAAGTATTCGCAACATGTAACAGGGGACTCATGTATACTCAAAGGATAGGGATTTTCAAATATAGGATATCTTTAACAATAGGAAAAAAGAAAATATTCATTAATTTAATGAATTGTAATGTATGATTAATACAAAAATGAAAACTTAAAACTCTACATTCTATCACAGAGATTAAATTGATTTAATTTATGTAAATAGGCAAAAAACCCACAACTGAGGTCTTTTATAAGAAAAAATACAGTATCAATATTATTAAACACTCCTACATGACAAAACATAACGTATCCTCAGTCAACTGGATTGCAAAAACTGTGCAATTAGAAAAGTAAACAGAAGGCTGTAGTTGCAAATATATACCATGTGCCGTACACTAGACTAAGTGCTTTAAATAAATATATTTATCTCATTTACTTTTTGCGCCAAACTTATGATGAAGGTATTTTACTGAAGAACAAAGGCTTGGAGAGAATAATGTATCAAAGGCATTCTAACTAGCAAGTAGTAAAAACAGAATTTAAACTGTTCTCTTAACCATTAAGTTATCAATAACAGATATTTCATCCTTATATCACCATGGCTAATACGAAGTTTCAATTCTCTCCATCAGTATGATATGTAGTCTAATGTTTAATCCAGAATATTCTCTTGTTTTAGTAATAACTTAAAATAAAACTTCACTATAAATATTCTCTAGATATAAAATTATTTTATTAAATAAAGCAAAAAATGCTTTTAAACATCATGAAATTAAAGTAGAATCCGATCAAAATATACAATAATATTTATTTTCTGGTTTTAAAGTTCTCAGAATGAGAACAGCTGCTTAAAAACTTCCAGAAACAAGAAACTGGCTAAAAAATCTAAAAAGTGCAAAGTGGCTGGCTAATCTCCAAAAATTAGATTCGTCTACTGCTAAAAATAAGTTTCAAAAATAGAGGAGAGAAAAGTCCTTTATAGACTGCAAAATGAACCCAACTATTACTACCCCCTTCCCCAACCAGAAGATAAAGCATAAACAACACACATTAATAAAATGGCAAGCAACTTTTTTCTTTTTATAACATAGGTATTTCCTTAGTTCAATGATTTCATTATTACTATACATCTAATTGACACTTTTGCTCAATAAAATGCCAGTCACAGGTTACTTGCATAGTATGTTCTTTGGCTTAAATATATCTCAGTACAGATCACATGTGAAAAGTTTCAATTATTTGAAAAACTTGACTAAGGGGAAAAAATGAAAGAAAATCATATTAAGAATAAGTTATTCTAGGACTGTTAACATAGAAGTAATATTTTCAAATGGTTTTGTTATTTTAGAAAAGAAAAAGTCCCTCACAATAGATTATTATAAGTAGCTAGTGCTAAGCTGCAGTGTATTCAGGATTGCTTAAAGATCAGGTAAATAATACCGTTCACCTACTTCGGGGTTTCCCGATCTCAGTACTATTCACATTTTGGAACAGATAACTCCTTCATGTGGGGGATTGTCCTGTGCATTGTGGATGTTTTGCAGCATCTCTGTCTTCTACCCACTAGATGCCAGCAGCAATACCCTCAGCCCCAATGAAAATGTCTCCACAGACATTGCCAAATATGCCATGGGGAGCAAATCACCCTTGATTGAGAAACACTTAAATACTGAATGGGTAAACTCAATTAAAACCATGCTTAATGATTATTTCTTAGGAGACACAAATAAATACTACAATGTGCTTACAATTCAAAGAATTTATAAGTAAACATGTTATCATCTATGATAGGAAAAGCAGGATATGGCAAATATCATGAAAAGTCATGGAGAAACTATGGTAGGGATTTACAGATCTGATTGATGTATCTGGTAAAGAGAGGATAGGAAAGGCTTAAAAAAGAAAAGAAAGCTGACTTTGAAAGTTATGTGGATTTTTAATGGCAGTGAAACAAGTCTAGTAGTCTTTTAGCTATTGGGAATTATATAACAGAAGACATGGAAATGTGAAGTCTGTTGAAGACACAGTTTAGTGTTCCCAGGGAATAAGCCTGTGAGAAAATAGTGAGAGATCAGGTTGGAAAGGACCCTCAATTCTGCCGTTTGGAGTAGCAGGCTGAGAAGGTGTTTTTAAATCAAAAAATAATAGCAAACCAAGGTTTAAAGAGGACACTAACAAAATTGGTGCTGCATGTAAAATTGATCTGACAATGGCATGTACAACACATTATAATAGTGAACAGAAGTACAGAAACTAAAGAACTTATTTGTAAATCATGAGGGGATCAATTTTGGACATGCTGATTCCTTGGCCCCAGGATTCCAAGTGTCAGGTTGAATCATATAGAATTTCAGAAATACAACAAATTTTCACTTAAAAATGTGAATTCTATGAGATTCAGCATTACAGAGAAATTTGAGAGATAATTAGAAATGTGGGCCTGGAGATTTAAAAAGAGGTCAAGGTTATGGACATAAAAGTAGGGTTTACAAAGAAATGAAATAGCCAATCCTATGCTAAAGGGTTCTTTTTTCAACCATATATTTACAGAATTGCTCACCAAATTTTCTTACCCATTTTGTGCAAGGTCTATAAGTACTAAATCCTTTTCTAGAAGAACAACCACAGCAT